CCATTTCATTATTGTGTGACAAATCTATCATCTTTTATAAATACATGAATTTGTCGATCATAAAATGATTTATAAATTTATAAATATATATATAAATATTGACAAAAAATTCCCCCACTTGCAAAAATTATTATTAACAAAAAAAAATAATAAATAATTATGATGATTATTTAACATTTTTTTATATAATAATAAATTTGCACCCATCTACACACTTAAAACACACACATCGATAATTTATTATTAACGCATTTTATCTTTATTTTTTTTTTTATTTAAAAAAAAAACAATTTACAAAAAAAAAAATATTTTTTCAAAAAAAATTTTCATTATTTTTCTAATCAACCAATCAATTTACTTTCACGTTAAATTTTCAAAAAAAAAAAACATCATCGTGTTTTGTCAATCTTTACCCTACCCAATCAATAAATCAATCGAAAAATAATGGCAACCAGGTGATTATTATATACAAATTAAATAATACTAATTGTAATTAATTAATCGAATTACACTTATTTCTCTCCTCTTCTTATCCTCTCCTTCCACCATTTTACTCCCTTGTAATCTAAAAACTAAAAGATTAGATCGTCTGGTTTTACTATTAGATACTGGATCAACACCTGCCATTCGGTCAACTGCTGCTCAACAATTAGGTGAAATTCAAAAACAACACCCCAGTGAATTACATAATCTTTTGTCAAGGGTAAGTGTAATTAAATAATAATCCATATTCAAAAATAAATATTTATTTAAAATCAACTGTTAATCGACTTTTTTATATAAAGGTTATTGTTCATTTAAGTAGTAAAGAATGGGATACACGTCTTGCAGCCGGTCAAGCAATTGAAGCAATTGCTAAAAATGTTCCGCATTGGAATCCAATTGAAAGTATGATGATTCGTTTTATGTTTATTTATTTGTTTTTTAAGAGATCTTTTCGCAAATAATACAAATAATAATAATATTTTTTTATTTGATTTGGTTTAGGCGAAAATGATGATAATAATAATAAATCACAACCATTAAATGATAACAAATATTCATTTGATAATTTTGATATTTCGAATGTGATACAAAATGGTAAAACTTTATTAGGCTCTGCAGGAAAGGTATTTTTAAATCAATTAAATTTTTTCATATTTATATATATACATACATATATATTGATTGTGTTTAGCATTCCAACATAAAAATCTTAAAGAAAGATTAGGTTTGGGTGGTGAATTCATGGATGGTAAGTTATTGTTAATCATGATCATTATCAAGATTACGATAATTGTCGCGGTAAAGTTAATTAAGTGATTCTTCATATAAAAATATAAAGTCGATATATTTGATGATATTGATATAAGTGGAGAAATCAACAACCCATCATCATCATCATCAAAAACAAAACAATCAACATCACAAAAAATTGAATTAAACATTCATTTACAACAGCAGCAGCAACAAGCGCAACCAATTACGTTACCGGATGAAATGTCTGGCTTAAGTGCCAGG